GGTGGCTTGCAACTGTCTGTAACTACAGTTTCAGAGGATTCAACACCCTCACACAGACAAAACACCAGTGCACATGTTTTTTTTTTTAATTAAATAAATTTTTAATTAAACAAATTAAATAATTTTTTAAAAAGAAAGAAAATAAAATGGAACAAGGACAGCAAATTAAATGTAGAGGAAGGGAGAGATGAAAACCAACAGAAACAATGGCAGAATCAAAGACGGTGGAAAAGCAAAAATCAGCACAAAAAGTTCAACCAGACAGCAAGGGGTGTGTGTGTGTCTGTGTGCATGTGTGTATCTGTGTGCATGTGTGTATGTGTATGTGTGCATGTGTGTACCTGTGTGCATGTGTGTATGTGTATGTGTGCATGGGTGTATCTGTGTGCATGTATGTATGTGTATGTGCGCACGTGTGTGCATGTGTGTATCTGTGTGCATGTGTATCTGTATGTGTGTACGTGTATGCATGTATATGTGTGCATGTGTATGTGTGTCTGTTGTGTATCTGTGTGCGTGTGTGTATCTGTGTGTATGTGCACATGTGTGCATGTGTATATCTGTGTGCATGTGTGTTTTGTGCATGTGGGTATCCGTGTGTATGTGTATGTGCACATGTGTGTATCTATGTGTGTGTATCTGTGTGTGCCTTTGTGTACCTGTATGGTGCATGTGTGCATGTGTGCATGTGTGCATCTGTGTGTGCGTGTCTATCAGGTATCCTCTACATTGAGGCACTTTCTCCACTGAACCCAGAGCCAGCCTGCCAGCTTTGTCTAGTTGAGCTCTGTGATTCCCTCTCTCTACCTGCACACACTGGGATCACAATACTGACAACACCAAGCCTGCCTGGAGTCTGGGTGGCTCTGAGGGTCCAATCTCCAGTCTTCACATATGCATGGTAAACACTTTAACACCTGAGCTGAGCCATCCACCTAGCCCCCAAAAGGGTGTTTTTTAAAGATGGGTAATATGATAAGCCTCTAACCAAGGAACTTGAGCAATTCTCAACAGGCTCTGTGAAAAATAGAAACGAACAGACTATGTCCTACCTCAGTCTACAAGGTTAGCATCAAACCAGATACAGATTGCAGAAACAGATAACTAAAGACCAATATTTCTCCTAAATATAGATGTAAATAAAATACAAGCATATCAAATCCAACAAAACCACATGGGATTTACTCCAGGGTAGAGGTGTGGGACATTACTGAAAAGCCTTTAAAGTGATTCATTACACCAGCAAGCTAAGCAAGAAAAAACAAGATTACTCCAGAAAAAGTGCTTGATAAAATTCAACAAAATAAAAATTCCATCTACAAATGGAAGAGGCTTCCTCAACTGATTCAGACTGGGTGAGCAAAGTCTGGGCGCTGTTCTCCACAGACCCAGAGCAGTAGCATGAAGTAAATCAGGTTGTGTAAATTAGCAAGAAAAAGACATTCCCAACAAAGCAAAGCCACACTTTCAAACGACATGCCATATATGGGGAATGCAGAAAGTATTAGAACAAATAAAGAAGTTATCAAAGCACACAATGAAATGTCTATGAACAAAACTCCAGAGGATTCCTACATATCAGCAATGAGAAGTTGGAAAAACGAAAGTAACATAACAAGAGAAGCAAAAACAGGGCCAGTCAGTGTAGACAAACTTATAGAGACAACAAAGACATGGTCCCCTTTTATTTTTTCCTGGGGGACAGGGGGTCTTGAAAGAGAGCAAGTTAAGTGTCCTATAGATGACTAGAGGTATTGAGTTTGATTTTTTGAAAATGATCTAAAATTGAAGCTGAGATGATGATTTGGTGGTCAAGAGCACTTGCTGCTTTTATAGGAGGACCAGAGGTTGGTTCCCAGCACCAACATGAAGGGGTTCGAAACTGCTGTAACTCCAGCTCCAGCGAGCAGTGTGCGCACATGCACAAATAGGCACACATGCACAAACGTGTATATATACACAAACAAATCTTTTTAAAAAACAAAAGTAAAAATGATCTAAATTTGGATTCTGTTGAGCAAGCACAACTGTGAAGATGTACCGTATATGTTGAATATTGTAGCCCGTCAATCATACCTCAATAATTCAAAACTCTGTAACTTTATTATTGAGATAATTCACACATTCATAAAATACATGGAAATATAGCTTTTAGAACATGAAGAAAGATGTGCTAGCAGACTTCTGCCGTGTCTACCAGCCTATCATGGATAAAACTGGCATAAATAAACACCATGGAAGGTTTCAAAGAAGTCTCTCATCAGATCTTTGCATCTAGAGTGAAGGATGGAGAGGGTACATCAAGAATGACTCTTCTGTTCACTTGCTTGTTGGTGCTATCTGCTGGAAACTGTCCCAACAGTTTCACAAAGACATCTTCAAAATGGGCCATATTATAGCTAGCCCAAGCTTACCACACTACAGAAAAGTTCCTAGGGGCAGGGAGAAGCCATTCCAGGAGGCATGTGCAGAAGCCTAAGCAGCAAGAGCTGCAGAACTGCAAGGTAAGGAGCAGCTGCAGGGCTCGGGCTGAGGCGGCCCAGAGGAGGAGAAGGCCGACAAGCAGAAGATCCCCAGCACATCAGCATGAAGAGTAAGCAGTAAGCCGGGAAGGAGGGTGACTGAAGATGGGGGGAGGGGACAGCACACTGCCAGCCAAGACCACTAGGCTACTCTAAAACTGAGTGGAATGGACAAAGACGTCAGAAGAAATAAACACCAGGGAGATGTGACTCTCTGAGGAACCCCACTGCAAGTCACAAACACAGCCCTGACAACAGCTGCAAGTCTGCAGTATTCTGCACACACCTAGCTCTGTCACTGGCCTAAACATTACAAACGAAGCTTGGTGTTCTCTGGTCCCAGAGGGTTCTCATGTTCCTGAAAGGCTGAGAGGACCAAAGTCTGGGCCCACCACTCTGACAAAACCACCAGGAGATCTTAAGGACGTGACGTTATAATCCACTCTGGCCACAGTACCTGCAGCTGCCCCTTTTCCTTCCCTCTCCTGGGTACCACCAGGCACCCTCCTGAGAGCACAGGCTTTTGCTCGCCTGAAGAAGGGGTGAGTTTACATCACAGCGGGTAGTGGTGAACACAGTCTGAGCCACACCCTTTTCCCTACCTCCTGTCTGGGAATCATCTAGCCTGGGTACAAGATCCTGCTGTGAAACCACAGCCACCCCCAAAGAGCTGCAGGAGACCACCACTCCTGCCTCAGACGCCCTGATTCCTCTTCAGAACCCCCTCAAAGCTGTGCATCTCTGCTGCCAGGACCCGAACTCTCCTGAGTCCCTGCCATGCTATTTGTTGTCTGTCTGTTCATGGCAAAACTCTAGTAACTAAAACAACAACAATCTGCCTCAGTGTCTCTCTTAACCCCATGTCACCAACCCTTTAGAGACTCCATCCTGTGATACCCATCCTTCATTGTTTCCTTTACACTTCTTACAGTTAGCTCAGTGGTAAAAATAAATAAATAAATAAATAAATAACAAAGCAAAGCCTGCACTGTCATTTCTGCCAAGCCTCAAAGCATGCTTAAGGCCCAGGCGTCCTAATTTCCAACATTTACATTTGAGATAGATGGAAAATATTTCCGTTTATCAAAAGCATCTTCCATGCGCTACCTTCCCCTGTGGTCTGATCACATCCTAACTTAAAGATATTCTGCGTGGATCTGCGTTGAACATGCACTCACGAATGCACACAGGATTTGTTACATACAGCTAGCCATATTCCCAAACCCTTCATAAGTAAACCACCATTGGAGCATACAACTTAACTGGAACACCAGCACAACTAAGCTGACCTAAAAGACTGGCATTCGAGGCTTTTATGATTATGATTCTAGGCCTGTCTAAGCTCCCAGCTAGGCTTCCTGCTACTCTGCCATACCAGACTTGTCTCTGTGGCTTCCCAAATACGTATCTCCATCGTTTTGACCATTTCATTGTCTTAGATGGCTTAAATGAACAAGGAACACAATGACCTCCCCCATACTCCTGAGCATCTTGCACAGACTACCTATTCATGGGGCACGGTAACCATCTCATCTCATCCTTCTGCTTGACACATTCGATGGCTGGAGAGCAGGGAAATCTGCCGCAGAACCTTCAGTTTCCATTGCCTATAGAATGCCTTGGAGTGGGCTCAGCGGTTCAACCCTGTGATCCCAGAGCTCCAGTCTGAGGATCTAACGTTCCAGGGCAGCCTAGGTTACACAGTGAGAGATAAACCCTGCATCCTGCAGGGTTTTCAGCAAGCCTTTAAGCAAGCATCATCTGGCCTTCCATAGACGGAAGAGCTTCTTAAAAGACAGTCATCCTGACTTACTTTCCACTTGTACGTAACAGATGACAGCAATCTGTGAGTGGACGTCAAAATGCAATGAATGGTCCTCTCTTCCTTCCTGGGCAATACCCTGTCCCACCTTCTCCACCCTATAGTTAAGCCAACACTGCAACTAGAAGAAACTTCCTCACTATTCCTCTACATCTTACCTTTCCATCGCTCCCCACCCTCTGTCATGCAGTAATATAACTGTCTCCACCCAGAACAGGGAGCCCAAGGACAAAATGAATATCTTGTATTTACCCCCACGAAGCTCAGCGAGGAAAAATAAATAAATAAATAAATAAATAAATAAATAAATAAATAAAGTGCCCAGAATTCTTTAAGCGGAGTGCAGCAGTCCCCTAAAACTAACTCGCCGAGGTAAAATGTGCAAAAGGAAAAAAATAATGCGTCTAATTTAAGAGTCTCTCGCATAATAAAAGGCATCCCCGCTGCACTGACGCCTGAGGTGGCAAGGAGCTATTACACAGCAAGAAGCAACCCCGGCCCAGTACTAAAACCCCCGGCCTTGACCTTGGCTGGAGAGACCCCAGGCGCGATCAGCATCGCCGTGCGCACTGAACCGGGAGGGCCACCGTACCCCTCGGGTCCCAGTGACAGCCGGGCCGACCTCCGCGGCCTCGCCCGCGCTGCCCTCAGCTCACCTCGGTTCTCCTCCTCCAGGTACCGCACGCGCAGCTCGTCCTCCGTCTTCACCTCGGAGCTGTAGCCCCTCCTCGGGGCGGGCCTCCCAGCCCAGGCCACCGGGCCGAGCCGTGCACAGCACGCGGCCACCAGGCGGACGCGACCCGTTCTCAGGGCGCCCAGAGCGCCCGGAGCCGCCGCCGCCATCTTGTCTGTTTACAGCCGGCGCCCGCGGCCAGGCTCCGCCCCCGCTTGAAAACGCGCACGCGCACGACGGGTATCTGGCGTCCTGACCCCGCCCCTTGCTGTCTGGCCCCGCCCAGGCCCTCTTTGCCCAGGTGGTTACCGAGGACCAGGTCTGTATTGTCAGTGTGACATTACTCTCTTGCCACCACAGAGAAGAGACATCTTTAAAGCTGTGGATACGCTAAAGGGACACTCGTTCTCAAGTTCCAGAAGGATTTGCCTCCCTATACTCCTTGGGCCATAGTCTAGGGTTGTGACTGACCATCCCTGCAGTAAGGAAGATACTCTAAAGATGTAACCATCCCTTTGGATATCAGACTGTTAAAAAACCCACAAACAAATGGAATTTCCTTCCGGAATTCCAAGTGGGGACGGGGCAGTTTGGAGCCTTGAGGCCAGTCAGAGGAGGAACTTCTCTCCAGACCGGTGTCACACAATTGTGACAACTTGTCAGACCACCTTGCAGGACAGACTGGAGATAATGATGGGTCAGTGAAGGGTGGAACCTAGCCTTGACCAGGACTATCTAGCTAGATATACTCCTTGTCCTCTACTTAAACCTAAACCTCGTATCAGGACCTTGAAGATGGACTGGGGGACAAGGACCCCTTTGTTCCTCTTCCCAATGGGGACACATTGAGCTAATCTCTAATTGGCCTATTAAAGACAGGTGGCTGAATCTAGTCTATCAGAGCTGCCAGGACCTCAGGCTCCAATATTAATGACTCTCATCACAGGGTCATTGCGTTAAGTGAGCAGAAGGGTGATCAAATTTGCTCTATTCCCTCACATTTGATTGATGGAGAGTGCAGTTCAACATGGAACCTCTGCTTGTCATTAGATGTGCCTGTTAGTGAAGGGAAAAGCAGCAAATAGGGAAGTGGGCCCTCCTAACCACCTATGGGACTTCCTGGAGGACAGTGTCCCAACAAGAGCCCACCCCAAGGAAAGCTCAGCCAGAGCTCAGGCCCAATTGCAGTTCTGAGCCTAGGGCTCCTCCCAAGACTTCGGGACAGTCCTGTGAAGATACTTACTTGTTAGGGTGCCTTTTCTGAGACGTTCCTGCTATCTGGCTTCTTCCAGCTTCCTCTCAGAGAAAGCCAGTTTAGGAATAGTGTCTTCAAATGGTACCACTGTTACTGGATTGTAAGGGGTAGGTACTTGTGTCCTCAGAGTTCCAACAAACCAGGCTCCATCACCACGTGTCCTCAGTAAGCCAATTAAAATCACTGAAATTAATAGTTTAAAGCAGAAATGGGAGACTGATTCAAATATGTCCATACGAGGAAGAGAGATGAAGAGTCTCAATAATGCTACAGTCCTTCAGTTCAAGTTTAAGTAGAGAGACAAAATCATGCATAGCCAGGCAGTCCGGGCTAATGTGTGCCTGCTCCCGTTGTTAACCTGGCATTGTCTGGGAAATACCCAGATTCAGTCTTCCTTCTCCCAGCATGAGATTCCTTGTGTGTGTGTGGGGGGGGGGGGGACTTATTTCACGAAAGCTAAAGGGAGAGACAGAATGTCTCTTTAGAGTATTTCCAGTCCTCCCAGACTAGTAGATTACACTCTGGCCATACAGTTCTGATATAACACATTGTGTCTGGCACCCTCAATGTTCCACCTGCCGGGCTTGTATCCAGAAGGAAAGAGCCAGTGGGATTGCAAGTGTCTGCCTCTGCTATGACCATGACCTTGAGACAGCCTCCACTGTGAGTTTTGTTAAGTGCCACTTAGGAAGTTGCTCTTTAAAGTTAAGTTGTATCCTTTTTCTGATAGCAATGTTTCTTTTGCTAAGTGTTGAAATTGTTAGTGTTACCACTTGTGGTTTCTCCAGTTTGGTTTGGAAGTCTCTAGGCAGATAGGAGGCGCAGGGGTGAAAAGGAGGCCAACCAGTGGGAGGAAGGAGGGAGAGAGATTGACTGAGGGTGAGAGCCAGGTGACACTGTGAGTTCTAGTTGGTGGATTTAAAGCAATCCCCTGTTTGAATCCCACTGTGATCAGAGGGTTCATCTCCGCATACCTGGCAATCCACACAGGGTTAGGACAGTGCCGTGGGCTGTCCCATATGGAAGACAGACATCTGAATGAACCAAATTAAGAATGGGGGAGGGGGCAGAACTGGAAACCAAGTATAAGGGTGACTGGGCTCTGTCTCAGTAATAAAAGAGTTAAATTAATCTTTAAAACAGATGCAGAGGCAACATAAAATTACAAGACTCCATTGTGCTGGGAAACACCCCCCCCCCATTTGTTTATTTGGTCAGTAGGCTTTTTACATGAGGTCACCCTACACTGCCCAGCTTGGCCTCCAAATGGAACTCCCAAGCCTCCCTGATTTCTGACCAACCAGCTCTGCATTAGATCCCATCACCCTTCCCCTGGGACAGTCTTCTGTCAGAGTCGCTCACTGAACCGAGGAAAGTGCTTTAAATCCACTACAGGTTATTACAAAGAACATCTCAAAGGGCACAAATAACCAGCCAGGTGAAGTAGCAACACCGAGTAAGGTCTCTGGCCTCCTCCACATGCAATCACGCACACACAAACAAACAAGCAGCTTTGAAACTGAGTCTTTTTAAAGGCTGGCAGCAGCATAACTCCCCCCCCACAATGTGCCTCCTCCCATCCCCCTCCACGTCCCCACCCCCCCCAAACCCGCCCCAGCCTGGGATCATGGCAACCCAAGCAAGACTGGACAAAGTGCCATGTCGACAAGCTGGAAAGTTTAGCACCTGAGAAGTGTTCAGTGAGTTTTGAAGGAGGGTATTTTCAGCTTCTGATGTGTCTATTGAGATGGGATTCACTGAAAGGCAAGAGGTACCTGGACGCTTCGAGAACAATATGGCATCTCCCCCACTTACCCCAACAAATAAAGGGTGGGATTTGGCCACAAAGCTCTGTCTAGAAACCAACCCTATTGCTCTTTACCCTTCCTACTTGAATATGCCTTTGAGTACACCCTCCTGCTTCTCCTAAAAGAGATAGAGTCTCTCTTCTGTTGCGAGAGAGCCAGAGATCTATGGTTGGATCCCTGTCCTTCTATAGCCCTGGAATTCATCGTCCCTTGTGCTGGTGGGGGGAATTATATTCTGTCCTCTAACTCCTTTGTTGTCCTGTGCTGTAAAGGGGGCAGGACAGGGTGTCCACTCAGCTCTGGCTGCCACAAACCAGGTGTCTTAAACAACAGACTTTATTTCCTTGTTGATGTGGAGGTTGCAATCCAAGGTCAAAGTGCTGGCAGAGTCCTTTCTTCTAGAGCTTATCTTCTTGGATGGCAGATGGCCACCTTCTCACTGTGTCCCCACATGACTCCTCCACTGTATGTGTCTGTCCCTGGTGCCCCACCCTCTGCTTAGAAGGGCAGCAGTCCTGTTGTAGCAGGCCTGGCAGAGATGAGGATTCCTGTCTTTCAATCTGACTTTGAGATTGAAATGGAATTCCAAAGAAATGGAAATTTCTCCCTAAGGAGTCGCATGCTGGGAGAAGGAAAGGGTGCTGGGCCATGGTGGAACCTTGACTCCTAGAAAGAGATTTCACGCAGTCCCTACAACTATTAGACAACTTTACACGACGAGACTCAAACCCAGATAATATGGCAGGACTACACCTTCACAGGACTGTTTAAATAGTCATAGCCTTGACCATCTAGATTGTGTTTGAGGCTTCCCAGGATCTTTGCCCTTAGCTCCTCTTCCAAATGAACCTCCTTTCTTCTCCCCCAACTCCACCTCCTTAATTTTATTTTTTGTTTATTTATTGATTTGGTTTTGGTTTTCAAGACAGGGTTTCATTGTATAGCCTTGGCTGTCCTGGAACCCTCTCTGTAGATGTACACCACCACTGCCTAGCTCCCCACTTTCCACTCTTATTTGGCTCTTTTGAAGACAAGTGGCTAGACCTAACTTGGGGCAAACAATGTTACAGTCGGGCTCTACCCATATGAGCCTCCCAGCCTTAGTTACTTCATAGTCACACAGTGAGGGTTTCGCTCCTTGCACTTGGGAGAGTCATAGCTCAGTATGAGAGGTTATTTAGAACTCCATCTCCATCATTCTCAACCTGCCAAGGTGTACACCAACAGAGACTACACAGCAGAGGGCTGACTCCCCACTTCCCTTCAGCCAGTCCTGCTGACCTACCGCTGTGCCCTGACTAGACCCCGTCTGTAGCAATGCCTCATGCAATGAGTGCCAGCAGCTTGAACCATCTGTGCTCACACGTGCCCTGCCTCACATGCTCACATGCAACCATAAGAAGCATTTTGTCAACAGTCACATTGTTAGCAGCTACAGAGCCCAGTGCAAATCAGGCAAAGTTCCTCCGTGATCCCCCACCTCCCATCTCAAATGTCTAAGCTGCTGCTTTCATAATAGAGCAGCAGATGACAGCTCAGTTAGTCTCTCTCTCTCTCTCTCTCTCTCTCTCTCTCTCTCTCTCTCTCTCGCTGACTATTGAGACATCAGTCTCCCAAACCAACAGATAGAATCTACTTCAAGGCTTTGAAGTGCTGCTCTCTTAGGGCTGGTGTGCCAGGCCCATAATTGCCTCTTTGAATAAAGCATTTGTTCACAAACATCACATCAACAAAAACAAATGACCGTACAGGACTGCTGAGCCAGGCTGAGTTGCTGCAAGATCAGGATGAAGCCTGTTGATTCCATGGTGCTCCTGCAGGGGAGGGGCCAGCTGCCTGCAGTCTGGCCTCCACTCTGTTACATGCTCATTTTTCCGCTATCTGAGAATGTTCTCAAACACATTTGTTCTTGTTATCCTTATTGCACTTACAATGCCTGCAGCAAACTGTTGTTAAAAGCACTGGAGCTGCCAGGAGTGGCGGTCCACACCTTAATCTCAGTACTGGAGAGGCAGAGGTAGGCAGGTCTCTGAGTTGGAGTCCAGATTGGTGTGCTTAGAGAGTTACAGGCTGGCCAGAGCTACTTGGTGAGACCCTATCTCAAGGGGGGGGGGGGGAGAA